GGTTTTCTTCCACTAAACACAAGTTTCATGTTTTAAGTATCTTAGGGGCAGCTCTTGTTTAGATTGTCTTCATAGTTTGTGTCTTGCATTCTTACCATGTGTGTTTGTTGGTGTTGCTCTAGGTGATTAGGTATAGAACAAGGAAAATTGGTGATGACTACAGCTACACCTGCTAGACAGAATATTAATTAACCAACTTCCTATATTTACCATGGCATGTGCTAAGAGTTTTGAAAACAATATCTGTTCTTATTGAAAATGCGATGATAAAGTTCATCAAATGTAAATTGTTTATGTTTTGTTTCACAGGTCAGTTTATGCTTAGGGCCCTTGTTCACAAAAGACTAGAATCTCTTCACACAAGTAAAAAAAAAAGTTGTAAGCTAAATGAACTTCTTAAATGAGAATTTGTATCAGGTTTTCTTGGAGTAGCCTACCCTGTGCATGACATCCAAAATTGCTTATACCTAACTGGATATGTCGGAAAGGTGATAGAAGTAACTTGAGTTGGGTGGCCTAATGGTTTACTCATAAGGTCTGTCATTGAGTCAAGTGGCATGGTTTCGATTCCCCGCTTGTACATTACAAGGCGTAGGGTCACATGTCGAAACTCGTGGGATTTCTTCAGTCCTCCCAAATAACCATATGCACAAGCAATTTATTTATTGAACTACATGTTAGTCTCAAAATGACCCATTTTGTGTCAAGTGGCCATTAAACACATTTTTTTTTCTCTCTCTCTGGGTGTAAATACATGACCAAAATCTGAAAATTAATTGCAAATATATATCAGCAGTTGATTAAAACTGATTAAATAACATTCTAAAATGTGTTTTGTAGATTACATAAATAGTTTCTTTATTACGTCAGTTCTGTTTTAATGTACAGTTCATTCTTGATATAAAACCGGTACCAGACTAGAGAAATACGAACATTCTGCTCTATATGTAAGTCTGGAGAAAATATGAAAACTATCCATAGTAAAGATTGACTGAAAGGTCGAAATAACCATCAACATGGGAAGAAGGCGGTTAATTGCCAGCCAAGCGAATACCAAAGAAAAGATCACAAATAAACTAACAGGTACACTGCATGTACTGGTCGATCTGTACAATTGTACACAAAAGTTTGTAGTACTATATCTATTACTAGTGTTTGCTAGGGACCAACATTAAATGTAGGTTAAAAAATGCATCAAAACAAACACACCATCTAACAACAGTCTAGTGTAGGTCTCTATAAAATCTTGTTCATGTGGTCTGGCACTGACTAGCAAATAGCAAGTCTTTCGAAAACAACCACCCACTAACACATACAGATAAAAACAAGTTAAAAATAGAAATGTAAATTTGTAATTTTCTGTCAAATCATATGTATTTAGATAGATTTAAATGCAAACCTAAAAACAGAAACAAGTCATTAAATTTGGACTATCCTATTTATTTACGCAAACAACATAACATACCAATAAATCATTTTAAGACCTCTTGTCACAAGCTTTTGAATTAATGCTGCTGATCATCATTAGCATTTTTTGGCCAGTATCTAATTTTTTATAGCTTAATCCACACTAAATGGTAACCAAATTGATTTGTTCATATCATACGGAAAAAGAATCCCAAAAGTATTTAATTTCCAAGCTTGGATTCAATCGGATTAATAAGATTTTTTTCGCATTGGTTTGTTTTGTCTATTTGCAGAGTATGCCAAATGTTGACAAATTTGCACTAATTTTTAACCGATATTCCTTTCAGAAAGTTAACTTTCCTTGATGTGATTTTCCTACTTAAGCCAATCTTATTTATTAATTTTATTAATACTAGTTCTTATATCTGCATTAGAAGAATGTAATTTGTCCAAAATTAGCTTTGATTCATAACAGACAGACAACACATCTATATATCCTAAACTCCTAAATTGTTATAAATACTGCTAAATGTAACATTGTGTTTTCAATTAGCTGATATTCATGTAACATGTATTTTGTATGGAATTTAATTGGAGATGATAACCTACTTTAGTATTAATGAAAGAAAGATATGTAGTACTTGTAACATGAGTATTGATACACTCTCTACTTACTCTTGATTAAAGTGCATAGTTTGGAAAGATGCCACGATTTAATCTGATCCAGTTTTAGTTTTACAGACTGACATGAATTTATGAAATGCCATGAAATCTTCATATTTTTAGTGATGAACTAAATCAAGGTGGTTGCCATATGGCTGGTTGCATCACCAGGTAGCTATGAGGAATCATCATATAAATAAATTATACCCTTTTCTCTGACATTTTACTGCTTTAGATACCTGAAAATAATTAAATGACTCAATGGTTGAAGTTTGTTTTTTTCTTGGCTTTATTTCCTTCCTCCACATTCTTTCTAGAAAATGAATTTTAAAGTCTTCTAGAATAAACAAATGGGGAGGGATAGAGTTGAACACCTATGCAACTCAATTTGATCAATTCGAAACTAAGACATATTTTTGTTTCCATAATATGGCTTACCGGTAGGGTTCTTTCCCAGTGGGAGCAAACCAAATAAAATGCTAGGAAAAATCAAAAGTCCAACAGGTGACCCCAATATTATGTACAAATGTAGGATCAAAATCATGACTTCTATTGATTACTGACAATATGATCTACAATCCACATGTTATACCACTCGGCCACAAAACAAATTAGGATGAAATAAATCTGTGTGCACAAAGTACCTAAGTTTATTCTCCAAACAAATATCAGTATATTTAGTTAGAATAATCTTATTACAATCAGGTTTTGATGATTGTTCTTTGATTAGCTATTTGATGAATTGTATGATATCGTATAGAAAGAATAAGTTAGTAAATGTTGGCAGGTTGAATATATTTAGTAAATATCGGGCAGGTAGTAGAGTTTATAACAACCAAGTCTATCATTCTCACCTGTACCTACTACATAGAAATCAGGTCAACTTTGTTTTCACTTAAGTATCTGATCATCATACACTGACCGGCTGGCCTCAATTCCTACAAATAAAACAAGAGAAATATGAGGTTTTGTCTTGTTCCGATAAACAAGCTAATGTCAGCACCCATGTGGATGAGCTGTTGTCTTGTAAGTAACATATTGCGAGTATTTTACATATGATTTCACCTTTGAAGCAAGGTATATGGTTGAAATTTGTGTAGAACTGTGAGCTCATCTATGAAGAAAATCACCTTGTGGAGGCGGAAGTTAGTGGAGAATTTTTATCTTCACAAAAATACTCAAGATTTTATCCTATATCAAAGTTATTCAACAAGTAGGGCTGATGACAATAAAAGGATGAAAATCCCCTGAAATATGAACAATCTAGGTCAAAACATTGCATAATTTGTAATAATAAAAATATTGTGTCTATTTATAAAGTGCTAAATCCACAAAACGTGCTCATTTTTGCAAATCAAAATAAAAACTGTCTTTGCTCATATTTAGTAATGTTCAGGAATTTGATTTTCATCGTAAGAATTAATTGTGTGTTATGTTAGGAATATATATTTGTAACCGAATGTTTATGACAATTTAAATGTTATTTTTCTGGATCATGTAAATGATGGTAATTATGTATTAATAAATAGTCTCTATAGTATTTGCTCACCATATTGAATTATGATGGTTGTTTTCCTAGTATAATTGGTTTTATTGGGGTACTTGTTTATTAGTATTATTCCTGGTAATTACTACCATCTGAGCTTGTTGGTAATGCATTAGAGTCAAAGAACCCGTCATTCCAATCTCAACAAAGTGCATGTATGCCTTTCTGAAAGTATCCAATCTCATTATAAGGGGTTAGTTAAAGAAACAAATCTTCTTAAATGCACACCATATGTCATTACTTGCCTTTCACAGATGCATATCATGTGGTTGGAGGCTATTGTTTTGGACAGTGGTCAGTTGTACTTATAGTATTTGACCATCAGTAATGTAGATGGATACAGATCTAGTCTTGACATATTAATCAACAAACCTACCCATGATAAAACTAGGTACAATAAATACCTGGCATGCACATAACCCCCTGTTATCTTCATCTCAGTTACCTAGGCTTGTACTGGAATCATTTCACATAAATCTCAAAAAGACATCCTCCTGAATTATAAATACATTTACCAAGTTAAAAATAGAGTTGACGTTTTTTTCTCTTTAAACATAGTTCTAAATAGACATATATAATTTCCACCTAGATAAGATTGAACTGTGTTTTTAAATGGGCGAGAAATGGTTTGTTTTGAAATTTAAGCTCAACTGTATCAAAGTTTGGTGCAGAGCTAATTTCATGGCCCGTTTTCTGCTGTTAAAAGAATATGAGAATATTAGTATATTTAGTCAGTTGTCTAAACAGAAGATTAATGTACCGTTCTTTGTGTTTTTAAAGTAGCTGGGTTGTCAGCTGATACACAGGGTGCAGTTGTTCTGTGTTTATTTGTTTCCTTTGGTGTCTGCTCACATGTCCACTCTAAGCAGACAATAAAAACAGAATTCAAAGGAACAGAAGCTTTTAATACACATCATAATGAAGATAAACAAAGGATTACCTCCATAATTGTTGGTATAATCTAGTTGAAGAGGATTTTATAATGTTTTTTGTGGAACAACAATAGATTTATTGTATGTAAATTTAAACGACAATCTAGATATGATTTAATGTATGATTTGGATGAGAGTTAATTTCAATAATTTTGGTAATATTCAATTGTTTTTATAACACTTGCTCGTTTTGTAGAATTCTCTAAATGCCCAAGCAACGGAAGTTATCATCCAATCTCCATGAAATTTACTTCTCCAGTTATGGCCCTTGTTTACTCGGTATAAATTTGTTAACAGGGAAATTTAGAATGGACATAGCTGGTTGTGGGCGTATTGGGGCCTGACAAAGTTCAGCACTTTATTTCCACCAAAATCCAAATGTAATGTTACAAAATTATTCAATTCAAAGGTAAATATGACAAATTATATATATATGTGATCTTTCTTTTCAGATTCAAACAGCAGCAGTGCTTGGACACCCCTGTATGGGGGAGGAGGAAAACTTGATAAAGACGCTATACAGTTAATCCACAAGTTTTACTGTAAAGATTGTCAAATGGAAGAACAGGCAGCCGAAAGAGCTAAAGCGCAGTCTTCTAGTAAAGCTGCTGCTAACTCCCCATATCACAGAGAACCAACTAGTCCAGTACTTGATCAACATTCCCTTACTCAAAGTCTGGATAAAAACAAAGAATGTAAGTAAACATCTCTGATCACTGTTATTAATCTATGGACAAATGACTGGAGACATTTTTTACCAATCAAATCCTAGTTTTCATCAGTAGTTTAACTCATATCAACCCATTTCCAACATCAATTTCTGTTTAAAATTTGAATCTGGAAGATGACCCCTTGGTAAACGAAAGTAAAGTAGCATGGATGGGTCAAAGAAACCGGTGAAGTGTCTCATGCAAGATCCTCAACCCCATCAATTCAGTATTAGTACAATGTACATGGATTCAATAAGATAAATCTGTTTAACTAGTTTATTGGTTCAATTTAGGACATTGAAATGTGGTCATATACTGTTGTTACATCCGTCCAATCAGTGATGTGTTCATGAGATGAAGAAGTCTATTGATTTTCTGATAGTTACAGCCCGATAGTTGTGGCCCTAGATAGTTACAGCCCGATCGTTGTGGCCCTAGATCTGGCTTGGTAAAATCTTCTTAATGCCACTACATACAAAAGAATAAAAATGTGACAACCTTTATAGACTACATGGACAATTTAGCTGTTGTGGACGTATATTTAGTTGCCTGGCAACCTGCCTTTTATCTTTCAATAGGTCTATAGTTTTGTTTACAGTTTATTTGTTTGAGCTATTCTGAAAACATCTCTCGTTATAAGAATAAGTATAATAATAATTATGATATATAGTTTGTACTTACTGCTTTGGGTAAGTAAAAGTAGATAGTGTCTGATACTGTAATTAAATTACTAAAACATGTTGGTAAGTCATTAACAGACCTACAGATAGCTTATACAAGTTCCTAGATTTCTGCTTGATTTACAAAATTACCCATTTAGACCTGAAAGAGTAAGAAAAAACAAGTCTTTAATGGAAATTGGAAGTGATGTTGGTTAGCTTTGAGCAGTGCAGAGTTTTGCATTAATCTTTATTATAAAGAACCAAGTACATTTCCTCCACTACCAATAACATGACAGTTTTATTATCATTGTCAATAAAACAGATTGTAAAATTAATTGTGGCTATTGACAAATGACACTAACTTCAATGGCTACACATCAACAGAAATCAGCTGACTTGCATGTTTTTTTTTTCTTTCTGACAGCCGTCAGTACAGTACAAATGATGGCCTTGCACACAATGGCGTACTGCCAAAATTAGGTAGAAGAATGTTTGGCGCTTACTTCGTCAGTTAGCAGCAGGCTGTCTGCCAAATGTGTTTTTCAATAGAAGAGAGTTCCAGATGCTCATACTGATCAGTTGAAATTGCTTAAGCACTTTGAAGTTTTAAATTTGATAATTTCAACAGTTAACTGTAGGTGTCCTTGATGAGATCACAGATGACTACTGATTTGATGTTAAAATACATGTCATGGCAATGATTATGATAATATATACATGTTCTTTCACACTAAAACTTTTTTTTGATAAAAACCTGTTTTCCCCTTTTACTTTTATACCAAAATAAACTTACAGATTAAACTAACAGACATTTGTTTACATCATAGAAATGTCTTGAGTTAAAATTAAAATCTAGCATTTTTCTAGACCTATTCTTAAAGAGAACAAATTTGGAATAGAACGGTTTTGTCTGTGTATGAAAACCCGAAAAGAAGTTGCAAAAATATGCATTATCAAATGAAAATATAGGTCCCAAATAATATCAGAATTTTTGTAGAAATATTGTTTTATATCTAAAGGTGTGAGGAGAACTCTATAAGCACTAAAGAATGTTTATCAAGTGAGTTTTTCTGTCAAATTTGGATTCATTTGCATTGTATTGTTGATATTATGTTCCTGGCTTTCACTTAGTTCAAGTGATGGGTTGTAGAACGGCTTTGGTTTTTCATGATTTTGATTGGCTAATCTTGATAATGAACATCTAATTTTCAATAAATTTTGTACAAGTTTGGAGATCTTAAAAGAAAAGCAATTTTTGATGTAAATAAAACAAATTTCTGACCAGTCAGTCAAAATCATGTAATGGGTATTATTGTTAATCTTGGTGATTTCTAATCTTATGTTGATTTATTATGTTTAGTATCTTTGGGTACAGTTTAGTTTAGTTCAGTTTAATGTTCTACTGTCTATGTTCAGCGTTCAATTTGTCTTCATGTTCTACATGCTATATTTAAAATCTGTTTATTTTCCTTTCCAGCTTTTGCTAATATAGGTGTATGTGCTTTTTCTGAAGCTAAAATTTGATTTGATATTCGTTGGTATACATCTACTTAGATGTCATATTGTTTTGCAGGATAGGTCAGATGGGATCATGTTGCTTAATTGCTGCACCTGTTTTTATTTGAAGATCAGGACAGACACCTGCCTCCAAATGCTGTTTTTGTTACATAACTATCGAATTAGTTTTCTTCTTCCATGACTGATTCCTCCCTCGGTACCCTTCATTCCCAGATGACCAAATTTGTCGAAATTCTAATTTAAAGACAATCTAAATCTGTTTTAAGGTGAATCACTTGGGTAATACTTATTTTATACTGATACAATAATAAGGGTGTAGCTGAGGCTAATTTATCAAAAATATTTACATGACAGATCATGGCAGTTATTGACTCACCAACTTCTTGAAACTTTTAGACAACTAAATATTTTCCTAGAACCTTGGAATATGTTTTGTTGTTAAATGATAGCAAGATATAACTGTTTATGTTTATTCTGCTTGTGGTGTACAGCTACATAATTTACTTTACACTAGATATATAGTTACTTATCATGACATAAAAGATACCATGAAAAAACACATTTAATGAGCAGTATAAGTTTTTCTGCAGATACTTAAAGATCTCCATTTCATTTCAACATTTTGCAGGAGTAAAATAACTACTACATTTTTCATTTTCATGCAAAACTTTCATATTGATTTAAGTCAAATGAGTAGTATTTATTCTATAAAAAGCAACGTATCTGCGTATTCTCTAGAATAAGAAGCTTATCTAATTGGTAATAGCAGTTAAATTAGATTTCATATTGGGAGGTTGCTTTTCGTGCAGGTAGATGAGCACTGGGTGGAAGATAATTGGCAACTGAACTATCCTTAGAAATGCCTTAAAACTTTTGCAATAATCAGACTGAAAATATGAGAAAAAAAACGTGACTTTACAAATTAAGATAAAAGTATTTATGGAGTTTCTGAGTTTTTATGTCAAAATTGGAATAAAATGACGCAGTTTATGGCATTTGCCATCTGCTCCTACGAATTATTGCCCAACTGTCAGAGTTAAGATTTTACTATTGAAGTTTTATCTTATCACAACCTGTAAACACTAAATATCTAAAGAATTCTGCTGGCAGCCGCCAGATTCTGTTTTTCTATGTTTCTTCCATGATGGTCATGTAGACATTTATTTACTAGTATACTTTGAAAAGAATTTGCCATGGTCTAGTGTTATTTTATAGTTAAATAATTATTTTTTTCATCTGGTTGCCACACATTAGTTGAAATATGATATTAAATACATGTATATTGTTAGCAATGGTAATGGACCAGTTTCTTTATATACAGATGTTGCACATTCGATTTTCATCCGACCTTGTTACTGTTATAAGTTTCTTTCATAAAGCTCACTTTAATCATTATTTATGACCCACATTTCCTGAATGGTGTTACCTTTTTTATTAACTTTTATTTTTACCTATAAATGTGGATTGGTAAGAAAGTAAAATAAAAATATAAAAGGTCAAGTTCTTTTCTCCTTTTTTTTTTTAAAGAAATATGGCTTTCAGTTTATGAAAATTATTTGAAGTTTTGTTATATGAAGCAATTTCAAATGATAACAATCCCCCAAAACTGCCAGGGTTTAAAGAATATGTTGAATGTCCAATTCTAGGTTAACTACTGTAATGACTTTTATCAGATAAGAGGTATCTAGTTTCCCTTAACATATGATTGCCTCTGCTACTGTAACATCAACTTCTGATGGCACCTGTCATGGTCAAATGTTTACTATGAGTCGTTTATTTGGGTTGAAAGATATTTTAGTGTCAATATGATAAAATTAGAACAAGCACAGTTTCTTTAACAAATTCGATATTAAAGATAATGTGAACAGTTAACCTCTTTAGCAAAAAGGTCTGTATTTTCTTAGAACATCTGAATAAGATGTCTTATTTGTATTCATACTGACTAATATATGCTTTTGTAGAAATGCCTTTAATATCAAGAACATTTTTTAGTTTCAGTGTTCTATCTTCTAAAATCTTATCATGTACAGCTGCTCATCAATTTTATTTTGATTAATTTTCATCTCTACCTGTCTTTTATTAAATTCTATGTGTCAGCTGGAAATTCTGTAAAATATTATTTTATTTAATGGTTTTTGATTTTATTTATTTTTTTAGCATTAAAGAGGAAGTTGATGCTAAGAAGATCAGTAACTGAACTAGCTGATCGAGGCATATATCCACGTAAGTTTGAACTAATGCTTACATGATATTTATTACAATTAGATTTCCGTCATGCGCATGCCATCATCAATTATCCCCTGTTTGAGGCCGTTTTTAGTAAGGTAATCTGTTGGCTATGTAGAATTGGCCTTGTACTGATAACTATGCTAATAAAATACAACCTGATTCTGGTTACACAGAATGAAGCAGGTGAAAACCCAGTGATTTATTTCTCGACTTCTATATTACAGCTCTGAAAACACCTCCAGCCTATTCTGAACAACGAAAACAATTAGAAAGGGCCAAAGTAAGTTAAATATATGTACTTTTATCTGATTGAACTTGTTACCTGTTAAAGGGGCCCCCAAATTAGTTGATGGACAATGATCAGCATATGCCCCCCCCCCCATTGTCATAGGTTATGCAAGGGCCCAATAACGTTTTCAGCCAGGGGCCCCACACAAACTTAATCTGACCCTGCTGTAACCTAGAATACTTTGCGTAAAAACACTATTCATATTTTAAATGAACAAGATGGCCACAAATATTATTTTAGTCCCTGCAAGTTAAAAGTTGCTGCTATCTGAAATGGTTATTGTTGTTTGTATAGTAACAAATCTGTTGCAATATTTTTAATGAAAACCAGAAGCTCATGTAATGTTAGATTTGGAAACTGAATAGTCATATGTTTTATTTGACCTTTTATTGAATAACGAAAAATAATAAATGAAGATGAAAAAAATAGAAACTGCAAATGTGAAGACAATTTATTTCTGAACCACTGAAGCAAACAAAAAACATTTTGTAACTTTTTGATGAAATCTGGATTTTCCATCATTTGATTTAATTAGCAAAAAATATGATGCAGTTTGTAGAGTGTTTTATAATACGATCTGTCTCCCATTTATGTCAATTGAATATAGTCTGTAAGTAGTTATAAAATCTCTAAAAGTTATGATAACACAGCGCATCATTAAATAAGAAATTGTAAGCTGTAAAGAAGAGGAGTTTAGTTAATGATTGCATGGGGAAGGTATTAGCTTCATTATGTCAGCGTATTCTATTATATGTCACCTGTTGATGTTTACAACCAAGCTCTGTGGCATTAACAATTGAATCACCCCATTCCATTGTATCTGAACTCTCTACATCTCTACATATTTTCATCCTACAACTTGTTTGTTTATGAAAAATGGCACATGTTGGAGATAAATCGTCATAATTTTTGGGTATTAAGTTATGACTTTATCACCTAGAATGTGCTGCTGATTTCTTACTCTAACTTCTGTACTGTATCTAAAATAAGTGATAAAACTAATGTACTACCATTCCAAATAGACATTTTAGCACCACAACTTTTTCTCTTGATTGTAAAGCTGAACCACTCTTATTCCACTTATGTATTAAATTATCTATGGATCACGACATGATCAAAAGATTTACTAATATAATATATAAGTTATTTTAGATTACATGTATTACATCAGTGCAAATAGATCATTTATAGTCTTGGATCTTAACTATACTTTTATGACATTATTGAAAAAATATAGTCTGAAAATGCCTATTAATGTATGGTACTGCAAGTGCAATTATGAGCTAAGATATTTCTGTAAACTGATACTTGTACTAAAAAGAAAGCTTCAAGGTTGAGGTTCCTTATACAAATGTTGTGTCTTTACATTCTAAAGAAAAAAGGAATAAAAGATTTTTTAAAAAATGAAATAAGCTTAGTGATACAAATTTGTCTAGAACAGTTTGACACACTGTAGAATTTAACAGGAAAGTGAACAGATAGCAAACAGGAAGTCAATTCTATTTGACTACAATCTGTTTTGTTCAGTTCAATCCCTACCTTTCAAATGATTATCTATGAAAACTAGGCTGTTGGAAATAATTGATTTTAGAGCTTATAACACCATTTGTGGCCCTATTTGGAAATAAGGGAACTTATATATCACATGATCACAATTTTGCACCAGAAGTAGTTGTGAATTACCAAAGAAATGTCATATTCAAAAACCTGCTAAAATAACTCCCAGGAAGTCTTCTTATATGAAATATGAATTGCAATTGCTATCTCGATAAAAAATAATTGCTGTGGTTCATGATCTAATTGATCTTCTAAATTAATATTTGATTACTTAAAAATGTAATGTAGCTTCACATATTCTCAAATGCAGGGACTAAAAGATAATATTTTTTAATTATATATGACCTTGGGAGACAGTAACTTTTATTTCCTCATGGATTAGCACTTCTAATGATATCTACCTCTTGAATGTTCTGTAACTTCTCCTTATAGTATATTTATTAATCAATCAGTGGATTGATTACACATTATAATGTGCCATTTACTTTTTACTCAGTCGAATTAGATTTCCATAGACTGTAAATCGACACATTTCCTGATCAAGTAATAAGATAATGTAAAGTTGCTTAGTCCGTTAATTCAGTTTGAGAAAATGTGTCACGACAAAGTAGGAGCAGGTTGAAATAAAAATTAAGCTATTATGCTTACAATTGAAATGAGGAAATAGAAATAGCTATGAGAGGTAAAATAAAAGTAAATTGTTTTTTAAAGTTGTTTACAGTGTATATGTGTTCGATGAATCATGTTTAAGATGTTAAAGTTATTTTGGAGGGTAGACGTGTTGTCTTATAAATGGTACTCCTACAGTTTTTGTCCCACTTTTACCTTAATACATATGGCTTTGACCAGATACATCAAATTCTTGTTACTGTAAATAGATATACACTGACTTCTAGTACATGCAATGATGCAGGATTGGAGGCGATCTGTTATCTTCAAATGTTATACTTGATTCTTTCAGCTTATGTAGGCGCTATACTGATATCTGATGTACATTAAACATAACAAAAGGATATGTTATTTTATGTTTCTCTAATGTGTGATATCTAACATTATTCCACTTGTTAAATAGAATAGAAGAAAGTTGTTTTTGGCAGGGACAGTCTGTTTTATTTTGGTTTAGGGTAATTGGTTTTAAAGGAATCGTGAACATTAAATTAATGTTTCTACATTACAGGAATAGCGTAAATAATAAGGAAATTTGAGTCAATATATTTATTTTTAAAACATTAGTACTTGGCTAAATCAATTTAATTTTCAATAAAAACTGGATTATCTAATCCATTTGTAGATTTAATATAGTCAGGTGTCCAGTAAATAGCATTTAAAGAGGCATTAGGCAAGAGCTAAATCTGCCTATTGCAGGTCATTTTTAGGCCTGAAATGTTATTTTAATTATTGATCAGGTATTAATTAACTTACCAAGACCATAATCAATTCTTGATGCATTTGCATGGCTGTGATATAAGAGGATATAAATACGTTTTGTGGTCAATGCGGTTACCATAAAAATGGATAATTGAGACATTGTTTATTATTGTAACAACAGTGGTAATGACAATCGAGGCTAGACTATAATTGTATCACCAATATCGAAGCTCAGAATGAAGTTACACAGGATACAATTTTATGGATACACAATAACTGAATACTACTCACATATACCTTTGTATCCTCGTCGAAACATCGCTTAGTATTAAAGTCAGGGCAATTACTAGATGCCAGATTGAAGTAATTTGACTGAATTTTTCAGTATATTTTCTTTTCATTACCTAATGCTACTTTAAATGTCATGTATTGCTGTCACCCCAATCCGTGAACACTCCACTGACTAAATTTATCATCTGATCTTTATAAAATTCATGTATGTTGTTAGCATTAGTAAGACAAAGAAGTCCATTTTGTGTTTTATTTAATTAAACATTCACAATGCAACAACCTTTATAAACTGCTCAGACACCTGTGGCATATGTTTTGTTTCCTGACAACCTATCTTTTTAATTAATTTTCATCCTTTCGGGCATTCACCTTTAAGGTATAATAAAGAACTGACATGAATATGTGTTGTTGAAATGTTAGACATGACTTGCTTCTGTTAATGACAACTAAAGTAGAAGGTATTTTCAGCACATTTAGGAGTTCTGATTTCATCTTTAATGACAATTTTATTACCTCTATGGTATCTAGTGTATCTACTTATATCAGATGTGCATTTGCCACTGATCAACAAATTAACAACATTTAGGCTATCAATTTAAACTACATCAATGTTTTCTTAAAACGAAAGAAAAAAACAAACAACGTCTCATGCAATGATTTTCTACAAATAATATGAAACTGATGGCTATGCAATGAATTTAGATTTAGATTAATGCATTGAAATACAGTATATAAATTATGCATGATCATTAAACGAAAATAAACTTGATATGACATTGCATTAATTTAAAGAATTAAAGTTTATTGTGGAGTCAGTTTGCTCGCTCTATTTACAAACTAATCAAAAAATTCAATTAAGAAGTTCAGAAATTATATCTTGAGAACAGGATAATACCTACTTTTTAGGAAATCACAAAATAAAAGTAGGGTTACCGGTACTTTTTTTTTTTTTTTTTTTTGAATCGGATCAATGGCAGAATGTTTATTATGATATAGTATATTGAGTTGTAAACATGTGATAATATATAGTAGGTGTAAAATCTTATCATGACCAGGTGGTAATATTCAGTTACACGACTTCATGATATTACAAAGGGTTCTAATTATTCCTGATGGTCTAATAGATGGATATATAGTCTGGTGTACTTTAGTGAATCCTTCTCACCTCCATCGCCTCCAGTCATTAAAAATATCAAACACTTTCAGACCTGGTTGAGTGATAGGGTGGAGTTAACAATTTTGGCAGTGGTCAGAGATTTCAATTTGATTGGGTGCCAAGATTTGGTTGCATCATAGTATTTGTCGTCTTATTATTCTTTAATATAGATTTATTGAAAGAAAAGTGTACCGTATGTTAGTCCCTAAATTTTTTAGTTTGTGTTGAGTGGACGTTAAACCCCATTTCTCAGTCTCTCATGGGTGGTCGATTAGGAACCTTGTACTGTCTCTATGGCTGATTAATGTTGAGACTGTGGAAGTATGAAAGTGTGTATATTTGAGCTATTGAGACTATTGAATTACATCAATAATTTGTATGTTTTTTATTGAGTGCAGTAAGTAATGAGAGATGAGATAGATCAGCTAATTAATATAGAGATGTTACACATGATATGTTTTACTACTGGTCATATGGTATTATCATCAGTACAGTTTATAACATATGTTTTACATTTTATATTCATTTACTCTTTCATAAAACATTAACTACATCAACAAAACAGGAAGTAAACAATCACATAGATTGGCTTTGATCAGGCCTTGATTTTGGGTGTGTA